GGCAGACCTATCAGACACTCCATACAGCATGTCTGCAGGTGTCTGTGTCTCTCCCGATCCTGCCTGTGCGTCTGGGCTTGCTCGCTTGATTGAGGTGTTGGACTGTAACTGAAGGTCACTGAGGGGGGTTATAAATGAGAGGAGGCCCATCCTGTTCATTAACCAAAAAAACGTTGGTACATTAAGAAGATCGCAGAGAGAGAGAGGAGGCCATTTGAGTGAAAAAGGCTACTTGGACGCCCCTGTACAAAGCACTTGTTTCGGACAAGCCCCGGGTTGCCCTCCGGGCGAGGCGCTGCAGCGTGGCATGCGCTGCGGGGGGCCCTGGACAGAGCGGGGTCCTGCCAGCGCCGCGTGCCGCCCTCCTGCCGCCAGCTGGTGCGGTATCTCGTGACCCGGGCAGCTGGTTTAAAAATGGAGCTCCAGCCCCGGCCGGCCCCTATAAATACACCAGGGCGCGCGCTGGGCTCGGGGCTGCCTGGGGCACAGGTCCAGCCAGGGCGGGTGGGCCCTGTGCCGAGGAGGGGGCAGCTCTCTTCCCAGCCCGTCGGCGGGCGGAGGGGCGTGCGGTCGTCCTGTGGGGGTTCCTGATGCAGAGCTCAATAGGAGAACAAGGGCCAAGTCTGACCTGAGCTGAGCAATGGATGTCCAACTCGGTTCTCTTCGCTCGCTGCCCGAGACTTTTCTCCTCAAGTCTGCGCCCCCCTGCCATCGACAGCAACGGCTGCCCCCTGCTTGCTGAAGTCTTTTTTTTTTTCTCGGAGTTACCCAGCTGTTTTTGTGTCTTGCTCCCGTGTTTCTGTTTTTCTGCACAAAGAAACGGAAGTCGACCCTCGGCACGCCCGTGGCGTGGTGAGGAACTGAGTGCGGTGTTCAGCACCGGCCCTCAGATCTCGGCCGCCAGGGAAGGAGACGGCTCAGCTGCGGTGTTGTGGACGCTGCGCGGTGCCCAGGGGCATCCTGCAGCAAAGGGGCTTGAACAGTTCCTATGGAACAGGCTGAGCAACACCCTGACTCGAGGAGATCGTTGGATCAGTTTGCCTACTAACCACCAAATGGGCTGGGCCCCTCTCATTTGTGACAACTCGGCTGAGAGACTTCGCTTGCCTGGAGCCCATTCCCACTGCTCTGTGAGCTGGGGTCCGGCTCAGAACCTTCCGCCGTGCAAACAGGAAAACGAAAAAGGCAACAGTAAACGTAACTGCACACCGTCGCTTTGAAAGAGAACGGGACTGTAGTAATAATGGCCGGGACTGGGATTTGAAGAGAGGTGATAGTTCTGAAGTGGTGCTAATTTGTGCAGTTGTGAACCCAGCGCTCACTTGCTGGACATGGTTCATAGTTTTTCTTTGCCCACATTTCCATGACCTTTGGCCCCCTCATTGAAGAACACATCCAAGCTCGAAGACTCTGGGCTCGGTCTGGACTGAGAGGAGGCAGCTGTGCCAGTCCTGGAGAGCATGGACATTGGCGGGAGTGCGTCCAGCTCCGCGGTGTAAAAGCTGGCCTGGCTGTGGGCTCTGCTGGATAGCAGTGTGTACAGCTGCCGCCTGCCCTGGCTCTGCTCGCGGGCTGCGAGGAGCAGCTGGGAGGTGTTGGCGAGCTGGGCGGCTCTTTGAGTGCTCTTTGAGCTCATGTGCTCGTGGCTCACCCGTGCAAGACAGCACCCAGGTGTCTCAACGTTTCAGTCCTTTCGTCGGGTCTGCGGATACGTTTGCACGGACAGACGCATGCTGTTAGTGTCATTTGAAAATATTTGCATTTCTGCTTCATCGGTGCGGTTTGTTCTTTTGTACTGGTTTAGCCTGCAAAGAATCAAACTGCTGTGCAGGCAGAGTCTTCATTTTCCCTCTTTGCTCTGCCCCCTGCCCATGCTGCTATTCCATACAAGAGCACCACAGAACTCACGGCCACACCTGGAGTTTCCGATCCTGCCTGTGCGTCAGTGAGATGCATTGTGACGGGAAAATTCTTTACAGCATTAAATAGTTTGCTCGTTGATCACAAGGTTAATCAGTTAATGTCTGCGCAGCGCAGGAAATGCATTAGAAATTGGTCTTCCTGCCGATCCTGGGAAGGGGTTGTCACCACGGCAGTGGTGCTCAGCTGGTGTCCACTGCGGGCAAACCACAGCCGTTGACCAGTCTGGTTCTGTTCCAGTAGCCGGATCGAGCTGGGAGACGTGACGCCACACAACATTAAGCAGCTGAAGCGGCTGAACCAGGTGATCTTCCCAGTCAGCTACAACGACAAGTTCTACAAGGACGTGCTGGAGGTGGGGGAGCTGGCCAAGCTAGGTGAGTGGAGCTGGGGATGTCCTCGATTCTGTGGGGAGTGCGAGGGGGGGGGTGATTAAGGGCCGCGCAAGGGCAGCGAGACGTGGGCCGGTGACGAGGGGCAGGGGAGGCGAGAGTGCGCGAGGAGGGTGGGGGTGGCGTGTCCGCGCAGGGCCTGCAGGTGTGGGTGCGATCCGTAGGGGGCGCTGGTGCTCGTGGGCGAGAGCTCACTCTCGCTCTCCGCTGTGTTTCAGCGTACTTCAATGACATCGCAGTGGGAGCAGTGTGCTGCCGAGTGGATCACTCTCAGAACCAGAAGAGGCTCTACATCATGACCTTGGGCTGCCTGGCGCCCTATCGCAGGCTGGGGATAGGTATGACTCTGCCGGCCTGCTTCGAAAGGCGCTCTCTTCTTCAGGACGCAGACTGGATGTTTTTGTTATTTTTTTTGCTGTTCGTATGCGTCCCACAAATCGGAAGGATTGTGGCCCGTGCTTTTTATCAGCAGCTGCTCTTCTGATTTTGGAAAGAGCTGAGAGAGTGGCTGACGGAGAGGCGGGGCTGACAGCGTTGAGACATGAAAGGGAGAAACTGCTTAAAATCAGATTGGTTGAGTTAAATACATTTTTATGCATTCCCAGGGGGATAATTTAAGCACATACTTGTAATATGGGCCCCAATCAAAGTGTGCAAAAAAGTTTGGAAAAAAAAAACAGGGTTCTGTGGTTGCCCACTGCAGTCATGAGCCCCAGTTAAGGGAAGACACACACGGAGCACCAAGCTCGTTCAGTCTAGAGACTCGCTACAGATCTCTGCTAACACTTTTCGAAAACATCACGCAACACGTTGTGAATAAAAGATGCATTCCTCGCGTTTCAATTTCGAAGCTTTGCGGGTGTGTTCCGGTCCTTTTAATCCACAGGCCAGGTGTCTCTTGTTGTGCCCCTCTGAGCTCCCTGTATGCTTTGTTTTATTCAGGAACAAAGATGCTGAACCACGTGTTAAACATCTGTGAGAAGGATGGCACTTTCGACAATATCTATCTGTAAGTAATCCTGGTTTGCAAAGAATAAATAGGAAAAATAGCTTATTTCCTTGTGCATGTAAGATGAGAGTTGAGTATTTGTTTTTTCTTACAATTATAGTCTTTGTTTATAAGTTCACAGACATTTGGAACTGCTT